TTTCCATTTTCGTCAAGGCGACAAAACTGCTAGAGCCGGCCCTGTCATCCGCTCTTTTCACGTTGATGTGACTCGAGTCCACTTTTCCGACTCGAGGAAAGTAGCTGAAGTTCACTTCACGGCGAAGCACTACCAAAGACTAAAATAAATAAAAGAAATTATGCAAGTGACCTGATTCTTAATATTTCTTAAGAAAAGAAACTGCTCATCGTTCGAAGCGTCGGTGGTATAACGGTTAGCATAGCTGCCTTCCAAGCAGTTGACCCGGGTTCGACTCCCGGCCGACGCAGGTTTTTTTTCTTTAAGGAAAGATGGTACTATTTACACAAAAATTTTTTAATTTAGGGATTTTTAAAATTTTTTTTGGTTGCCTTCTATGTGTGCGTATACTATGTAAAACAGGTTTTGTGCTCAAAATTTCATAAAAAGCTAACCATTTAATTTTTACAGGAAAAAATTTGTGAAATGATTTTAAAATGCTACTCCTACAAAAATTTACGTACACACATGACATTTGATTTACAAGTACATCAAATCACGTATAACAAAAGTTGTTATGGATTTTGTGATAACATGATAGGTATTCGTACAATACTTCTTTTTATGAATGCTTATTGAAAATTCCTTAAAAAATGTATAAATTCTGAGTTTAATAATTTTTTTAAGAAATAAGTATTGCTTTGATTCAAAAATGCATAACAACTTTTGTTACATGTACTATTAGCACACAATAGGTAAAAAAAATTCAAAGCCTTAAGCACAATAAAAAAATGCCTTATCATTTTAAATGAAGACAAATAGTTATTTTATCTTTCTGAGATAAGTCAGTTTTAAGTTTTGATTTGCCTTAAAATGTGAATAAAAAAGTACGTAAGAGCTATTATAATTCAGTGTTTTTTAAGTTTAGAGCATTCAAATTTTGTGAGGCTATAGTAAAATATATAGAAAATAGTTTAGGCTAAAAAGAAAATTACATTTCATTTTTTGACCGAGGTTTATCAATTGTACTGTGTCACTTAATATATACATAGAAAGTATGAATTTGAAAAATGCTAAAATTGTGAACTTGAAGCCTCTTTTGTAAAAAATGCATTTGAATTAATACTACACTCATGCACAAAAGAATTAGTGCACCAAGAAGGAGTCGTCAAAATGAAACGAAATTTTACATACGTAATGACAATTTTAATATAAGTAAAGTATTAGAAAATAAAAGAAAAAGGATAATTTATTTCAGAGAAAAAGGCAAAAGAACGGAGGATTTAATACCTTAATGAACTCTCTCTCTCTCTATATATATATATATATAGCTCGGATGCACGATGCGATACGATCGGGCATTGAGGAATACAAGTTCTGTATGATGACTTGAGAGATTTCTTTCCATATTTGCTGTAACCTTGCCTCTGGTTCGTCCAAACTCGTGGGATGCCCAACTCGCCATCCCAAATGATCCTAAATATGCTGGATTGGAGACAAATCTGGGATCGGCAGGCCAAAAAGGTAGTAACAGGGAGAACAGTCTTGTGACACCCTTGTCGTGTGAGATCGAGCATTGTTTTGTCTAAAAATGGCTCCTGGGAGCCGTTGCAAGAGCGGCAACAGATGTGATTGCAGGATGTCATGGATATACCTCTGGGCTGTCATGGTGCCACGGACCAATACTAGGGGTGACTGTGTATAGTAGGCAATGACACCCCATACCATCACACCAGCTGTGGAGCGTGTGTCGCTGTAGCAAAGGCAGGCTTGAGGCGTTCACCACGGCGTCTCCACAGACGAACACGATTGTCATCACTGCTGAGATTGAATCAGGATTCGCCGCTGGATTCCACTGCAGTCCAGTTTCCTCGTGCGCGTCACCACTCCGAACGGAGGCGTCGATGGGTGGGCGTCATGGGCAGCACACGTAATGGGCGCCGCGATCCCAAATGTCCTTCGGCCAGGCGCCTTCGTATGGTTCGAGAAGACACAGGGGCTCCTAGTGAAAATGCTTCCTGTGCCTCGATAGCGGCCGATGAAGCAGTTGGCTGTACGCGTGCATTTTTTACGATGTGGTGGTCTTTTCGACGACTGGTCTGTCGAGGGCATCCTGAGTGTGGTCTTCGTGTAAATGATATCTCTTGGATCCACTAGTCCCAACACCTGCTCACAACACAATCAGAGCGGCCTAATTGATGAGCTACTCGCCTAGCTGACCACCCAGCTTCCATCATGCTCAGATCTTTTCCTCTCAACGTCGACAGCTGCTCATATTATCCCTTCGAAAATTGGCGCTAATTGCACTCTACCCCAGCTCTTCCTCTGTAAATGATTCAGCACACTCAAACAAGCTTTGTTTACCCGTTTTATTCTCCATGGAGAACGACGTTAAACGTCCTCTACCGGCTATACATAATGCACAATCACTGTGCATTTCTAATCATTTGCATATCTCTCCGACAAGTACCTTCATGCCAAGTTTTGTTACGATCCAGCGATTATTTCTTGGTGTGCAAATTTTTTTTCCCACTGAGTGTAACTGAAAATATTCATGCATAAAGTTTCAATATTTTTCTTTTTCATTTGATTAACATAGAATTAATACTTTTTTAGAGATTTTAAAAGAGCATTTATGCTATTGAAGTACAATGCAGTTTTTACGCGTTATTTTACATCATTATATACTTGCATTTAAACCTTTTTAATGCGCTTCAGTCATCCGAAATGAAACCCTTTATGCATAAGAGATATGAAAGCCAGACATATTGGACTGTTATCATAAAATACAAGGTGAAATTGACAAAAATAAAGCTTTATTCGATGTGTAAAAAAACAATAAATTAGTATTCGCTGTAACCGCTATGATTGATTAACTACAGAAGCATGGATTCGGCATTGAAATATGCTTTGGGAGCAGACTATTCTGCTTTTACATATGCCAATGACTTTCTCGCGTAGCATCTGGTGTTTATGCAGAATCAATTATTAGCCAAAAATGCATGTAGTCCAGGGAATGCGAACCAGTGGCACGCATGCCATAAATGGCACGCGACACAATATTTTGGCATGCCAGCAATCAAAATTGTTTGCATTTTATTTCAAAATAAAAAAAGGTTCAGAAAAAACGTGGCCGGGAACTCACTTGTTTGTTAGTTACGTCGTGGACTAGAGTTGCTTTTAATGCAAAATTTATCTATACATAGCATCAATACCGTTGAAACTACTGTAGTTTAATGTTTATTTGTGCTATATTTACGATTTTTAACTGTTATTTAACATGGCTAGTTCAGCTAAAAGAACAAAAAAAGTGCAAGATAGTAAGTGTAACAAAGAATTTCAAACTTGTTGAATCTAGAAATATGGCATCGTTAGTAAAGGCGACGTGGTGTGCGTTTTATGTTCTGGAACAGTGGTATGCAGAACTTCGTCTGTAAAACGGTTTTGAAACAAACCTCAAATCATCTTGTCAAAAAAGTGAGCCACAGCAGAAATAAGAATTGTTTAGAAACCATTTGGCAGATGACGCCAATTCAACATGCATTCTAATAAAAGCAACATCTTATAATCTTAATATAAGTTATTTATAATCCAAATCCACAACGTCATCCCAATCATTTGAATTATACGTAAAACTAAAACATTAACAACTATACAATGCAAAATGTAGTTTTTCGTAGTAAATAACGAGTTTTGGATTTGTTAGTATTTAGTTTTATTATCTTTCCTCTAATCATAAGTCAAAATTATTTGACGGCACGTCTATACCTCATTAAACATTTCTTTAGAAAACAAAATGGTGGCTGCGATAGCCCAGAGTCAAGGTATCGGATCATGGCAGGCATGTCATGAGTTCGAGCCCAGTACCACGAAAGACCCGCCATGTAGGGGATCGATGCACGTTAAATCTGTCAAGAGTTCAAACGTCCTCCCATTGGTGTGGTGTGGTAGTTAGGAGAGGGGGTTCCAGCTCAGGTGTCTTCCTCGTCACTTGACTATGGTTCAAAATGACGAGGTCCGTCGCCAAAAGCCCTCGTGTAGCTGAACAATGCGATGTTAATATTCACTCATTCACTCACTTAGAAAAAAATTGCACGTTAATCCATAAAGGTTTGCTCACTCCTGATATAGTCTGTTTGCTAGATGGTAGATCATTGAATCACAGGGGACCATCACATTATCATGGTCATCATTGACCAAGGGCAGGCAATGAAGAATTATAGTACTAGGCATATAATATGGGGCCTTCATTTTTGTCGTTGAAACTTGCTCTCAACCAAGTCTTTTAGTTGAGGAACTACAATTAGCTCCAAAACTTCAGAGAGGTCAGTGGTAGCCTTTGAACGAACCAACAATACGTAATTATTCGACTCGATGGCTTAGAGGTAGAATGCCTACCTCTTAAACCAAGATTGAAAGTTCAATCCTGGCTAGAGTCGATAGCTTTTCTGAGTGGAAAATCGTAGGCACATGTGATTAGGTGGCATGTAAAAGTTCCCAAGAGTATCAATTTGCTTTTGATACTCTCGGCAAAATTAAATAACTGCAAAATTTAGCATATGACGAGAGCGTGAAGTAATAAATTCTACACCAAAATGTGATAGCGGAAGCTGCGACTAGATGGTAGCACCAATGAAATGGCTCTCACACTTGGGACTTACTCTGTCTACAAAGGCTAAACTGCCAAAAAGCAGTCCATTTAAAACAAACAAGTAATATTAATTTTTTTTCAAAGTCAATTCCTACTTCTACAATAAAGAATTTTTTTATCTTAGTTACTTTTATTAAATAATTACAATTAATATAAATATGTATATACAATATGTGTAATATATTACTTAATATGTGTACACAATATTAAGTGACAGAATAGAAAGCGATTTTCCTTTGAATTTTCCATTTTTATTTCTATATAGGGTGTGGACAACATTTTTTGTTTGTTACTATTTATTCATTAATTATATTTAATTATGCCATTAAAATAATATAGGAAAAAGAAATCACATTTTCTGAAATTAGGCCATCCCAGATGGGATTCGAACCCACGACCTTGGATTAGAAGTCCAACGCGCTATCCATTGCTCTACGGGGACACAACGAACGATTTCTTTTCTACATATGCTATTGGACTATTATTTTTGTTTGTTACTATTTACTCATTTTTTAAATTAATTAATGAATTAAAAAAAAATATTCAGAAGAAATGTATCAACACATCAAGTGTCATCCACTACCAGTTTAAGAAAATGTATTTGAACTTGAATGGATGAATTGAAAGTATTTTATTAAGATCTCTCAGGACCCTTAACAGATAACCGTGCACTCGAAAAAAAAAATACTTCTTCAAACAAATGCAACTTAGACAATAAAACAAAACAATAATTTGAAATTTCTACCGCATGATAATCAAATATATTTACATTATTTCTCAAATTTTCAGAGAATTTGAGAAAACATTTAAAAAGTTATAAAGAAATAAAAATTGAACAATTTTTCAAAAATATGAAAATTAGTATTTTTTACCGCGCAGGATTCTAAAGTACAAAATCGATCAAAATTTACAAAATTAATTTTATTTGGTATAAAAATGTTCACTTTTGAAATTATACTAACTTTTAAGAAATTTAGAGAAAAAAAACTTTTTATATGCAATTATAACGAAAATTTTAAGAAAAAAAAAAATTAAAATTAAAATAAAAATAAAAAAATTCTATCAATTTTTTGTTTTGAAAATTGATGTATAAACTATGAAGAGCCTTATTTTGAACACGTGCATAAAATTTTAAATTGATATCATCAATAGTTGAAACTCTTTGTGTGTCGGTACACTTCTGCCAGTGTTCGTATAACTTCTGGAAGCCATTTTTTGCAACCTCCCTAAGCCCCCCTGCGATGCTGTTTCACTTCATCTGATGACACAAAACGGGTTCCTGTAAATGCTTTTATCTTTAATGGAGGCAGGTAAAAGTCACACGGGGCTAAGTCCGATAAATAGGGGATGTGGAAACTCTTTAGTGCGAGTTTTCGGAGGAACTCTTTTACCAAATTGGGATCGATGTGTTGGTGCTTTGTCATGCAGAAGATACCAGTCGACACTTTGCCAGAACTGGGCCGTTTACGATGAATTCAATTCCTCAAATGAAGTCTTCAAGAAGTGTGTAGTCCTCAGTGATTTGTGTAAGTGTTTGGAGACGATCTTTTCAAACACTTTCAAGCACCAACGCAACATTTTTCGCGTTCCGTGAAGTCTAAGGTTGTAAAGATCGCCCCGCGATATCTACTAGTGTGTGAGAGTCGGAAGGAAGAGTAGCCATATTCAAAATTACTTCAATTTATTCTCAGTTATGACAAACAACAAATTCTATTAACCAAGTTAAGAGATTCCCCCAATATGGAGAGCAATTACAAGATAGGCAAGATACAAGACTTTAAATAATCAGATTGTAAGAGGCTCTCGCATCTCTTGAGGGCATCTAGATGTGTGGAGGGAAGGGAAGAAACACTCAACATGATTCAATTAATCTATTTATTTTCACACACACAACTAAGAATAGACACAATTTCAACTAATAATATTAAGAGAATGTCTGAATGAAAACCATGAAAGTGGAACAACGACAGTAAAACGTGAGAGATTAGGCGACTAACAAACTTGATCTTTATCTTAATTAAGGAGCTAACCTCTTACCCGATTTAATCTAATCTTAATTGAATCTTAGTGAACAATCGTCACTGTAATGTTTCCTTCTAATGAAAATCATACCACTCTAATTCTAATATTGTACCTTCAGTGCAATTTCACCTGGCTTGAGTATATCTTCTCTCCTTCTAGCTAGAAAACCTCGCCTATTTATAGTAAGTTAATTTACATATCACGATTCTCTTCTTTCGAAGGGTTGGTTGTGAATAACGCGAATTGATAGCCCAAAGATTTCCCAAGAGGATTAATTAGAAAATCGCGTTTTCATGCGTCACAATATCACTTACGTCAAGGCAATATCTTCTAATTCTTAACAACCTAGCCTAATTTGATTCCTAGTTGACAAATCCTCTTTAATATTACAATAATCAGCTACTAAGTATCCACGACTCACTTCACGCTTAATCAATCATGGTAGCCATTAGCAATCTAACCTCCCTCTTCCTTCTAACCTGAAAGTTTAATCTATATATAGAAACCTTAATTTTGCATAGTCACATCTTCTTCGGGAGGAAGCTTTACAATATAATAATTTTTAAAGACCCAATATTTCCAAAGAAGATTAGTATTTAAAAAGAACGCGGATAGACTCGCCATAAAGCCATCCAATGCGTTCATTATCTTTAATGGATATTCGGCCCTGTTTAAAACTCCGATGCCCTTCGTAAACCTTGGATTTTGCCAAGGTAGATTCACCATACACCTTACTTAGCATTTCCAAGATCTTCATTGGCGTTATACCAAAGCGCTTACAGAATTTAATGCTCAATACTGTTCATGAAAAGCCATCTTCCTTAGATCGCGGAGCAAAGCTAACTAGTATCGGAAGATAACAAGCTGTGCGTGCAATTTGGTCATATGACATGGATAAAACCAACCTGACCAGGTAGGGGAGTGTTGGGAGAATCCATTTTAAGTGGTTTAACTTTAGGTACTTGCTTTTGTTGTGATCAATGGCCGCAGTCTCTGAATTTTTGAATCATACTACGTATTTATCGGAAAGATAATTTGCAATTTATATGAGCCACTGTTCCTCCTATGTCGAACGATGCAATTTTAAATCTTCTAGTGATGAGGACGACATCTGTGATGACGCCCACTCTCCAACTTCTACATTAAGATATCGTGAAGAACTTGGGGCTCGACAGCTTGAACTTGCATCAGTATTTATACAATGTGGACCTTTAATGTCGCCGGGACTCGAACCCGCGACTTAATGTTGCCGACCATTCGTTCGCTATCATGATTCCACGGGTACGGCAGCTTCATGAGGACGAACATAAAGGATGCCTCATTCAGAAGGAAGAGGAAGTACGACTTCGACGAACCGAACATTTTTCTTTATTCAAATAAATCATTAAATAGTATTTATTATAATTCATTTCGAAAGGGGGAAAAAAATTCTCAAATAAGTTTACATTTTTTGAATGTATACTTTATTTGCGTTTAAAAAAGTAACTACTAGGAAAAAAAACTCATATGTATAATTTATGATGCGTTTATTTAATTTCTTTACAGTACTTCTAAATGTATGCATCGATTTAAGGTATCCGAATACGTTCGAATCCATGATTTTGCAAAAGCGCATAAATGGATAATTTTCATGATATTTAGTGTCACTTAGATTAGAATACATGTATACAATTGTTTTAAGGACATTTTTTGACAAAAAAAATTTATTTAAATACAATATTTTGGCAAAAAATTAACTTAAAAAATTTTTTCAAAATGTTCTCCTTTGTGAAAAAATGCTTCTATTATATAAAAATTTTTGCCTGTATATATCTCAGACCGTTCTACAGAGGCTCAACTAGAATTTTTGAAATATATAACTTAGAAGTGGGTTTATCCATATTTTACGACAACAGAGGGGAGCAATTTTAAGAAAAAAACGCCTATAATTATATATTTCAATTGGTTGTAACTCTGAAAATAATGTGAATTTTTCAAAAATCATAGTTGAGCCTCTGTAAAGATGTCTGAGCTATATACAGGCAAATATTATTATAATAGAAGCATTTTTTTACAAAAGTAGAACATTTTGAAAAAATATTATTCTAAGTTAATTTTTTGCCAAAATATTCTACTCAAATCATTTTTTTTGTCAAAATGTTCTTAAAACAATTTCATACATGTAGTCTAATCTAAGTGACACTATATATATAAATATCATGAAAATTATCCATTGATGCGCTTTTTTAAAATCACGGTTCCGAACGTAGTCGGATACCTTAAGTGAGCATGCTCAATTATATACTCTTAAAGATTTTATTTTTGTATGCTTATTATACTATTAATAGAAATTTCAAAGGAAGGAAAAAAAAACCACATTTAAATTAAAGTTCAGAATTTATAATGGAATTCTTGTCATTTAACACAAAAAGAAAAGCTCTGCGTCGGCCGGGAGTCGAACCCGGGTCAACTGCTTGGAAGGCAGCTATGCTAACCGTTATACCACCGACGCTTCGAATGAAGAGCAGTTCTTGCACTTGATCAAACATTAAAAATCGTGTCATCTCTCAAAGTGACTTTTTCATTTAGTGCGGTGGTCAGTCGACTTGAGCAGTGTAGCCACCGTTCAGAAGTAGGAGCGTCTTCCTTAAAAGTAGTGGTCTTCAAACTGTTTTCCACGGAACCCTGGGGTTCCACGAGGAACACAGGGGTTCCAAGAGACCCTATAAGAGTGGAAAAATTTTTTTAAATTGATGTATTCATTATCCCTATGAAGTTTGTATGACTAAAAATATCTTCGCAGTCATTAAAACTGAAAATTTTGTTAACACACAATACACATTGTATAACTTTATTTTATGTATTTTTAACTTTTATTATAATATAATAGAATATTAAAAAAAAATTTTCTTTGTGTATACTACCTATTAGATTGTGAATATTCTATTTTTTACTATCCCGGGTTCCTAGAAATAATTTTATACTCGTTAGTACATTATTTTACAAAACTTTATAGTTTTCTAATGAAAAATGTATCGTTTTTTTTATTTGAGGAAAAAGATACCTGTAAGGAAGGAGGTGCAACTTTTCCACATATCAACAGATTTGACTTAAAAACCTAAACTTTTTTTTTTACGTTGCAGATTCATACAAGTTTCACAGGATTTTTCACAAAGATATAAACATTTTAATTAATGCCATTCAGAATAATGTCTTTAAGTGAAAAATGTTTCTCAACGTTATTGGCTATAAAAAAATATTTAAAAAAAGAAAGAAAGAAAGAAATGCTTCTGCAGATAATTTCAACAGACCTAGACTTCGACAGTTTGTGTAGAAAACTGCTAGAATACAATCACTCAAAAAAGTATTGGGACACTTGGCGTGCATAACTGTAAAGCCATTTATAAAAATATTTATCACATTAAAACAAAAACAAAATGA